ATTATGACTTTATGCTCGTAACATTATGACTTTATGCTCGTAATTTTATGACTTAATCTCGTAATTTTATGACTTTAATCTCGTAATTTTATGACTTTAATCTCGTAATATTATGACTTTAATCTCGTAATATTATGACTTTAAACTCATAATATTACGACTTTAAACTCGTCATAATATTATGAGAATAAAATCGTAATATTTTATGTTTAAAGTCATAATATTACAAGTTTAAAGTCATAACTTTAAACTTGTAATATTATGACTTTAAACATAAAATATTACGACTTTATTCTCATAATATTATGACTTTATTTTTATGACTTTAATGTTGTAATATTATGACTTTATCCTCGTAATTAAAAAAAAAAATTAAAAATATCTTGTTGTGTGGCCCTAATACTCCGTCACAGTACAGATTCAAATGTAAGTAAAAAAAAAACTGAAAAAAAGTGAATTTTCATATTAGGTCCCCTTTAAACAATGTCATCATAATAAACCAATGTTTAAACTGTTGCATTAATGCGTAGATAAAAACAAAAACATACCTGCAAAAGCGGCCAAATCCTTCTATCACAATCCTCATCTTCCTCTTCTGCCGATGGTCTGACACAGCATACTGGACCCCTGCTGTCACAGGCACAATGACCGAGACGCCAACCAGAGTCTTCCATACCAGCCCTCTGCGTTTCCTCTCCCTGCAAGGATGAAAAACAGCACAGTCTTACTCAAGAAAGCAACTCCGTCCTGCACATTAGTCCAGATTATAATGTCTGTTTGGTACCTGATTGAGTGGAGCGGTCTGACTGTTGGCAGTGGCAGGCCATGACGTGAAGCTCTTCGTAGAAGCGCCAGATGATGATTGCATAATCTTAACTGAGGAACACAAACGTTGTATGAGAAGTTCCATCATACCTGAAGGCAATCCCTGTTCACTGAGTTGCTGCAACATGATCAGGCAACTTCAAAATCAGGGATCTGAGTGAATCTACTGGGCTTGGCACAAGGTGAACTCTGCCCTCTGAGGAGTCATGTCCAGCTGAACATTTAGTCTCAGGCTGGATGTTTTCACACATTTGTGTGTGTTTGAGTGCTGGGCTGGATGAGTCCCATCAAGGCCAGCACTGTGTTGTGTTGTTCGCATGTGAGGGACAAAATGTCACCACTGCTGACAAATTGATATACAGATAAGAGGCATGTCAATGACCCGAGCACTGACACATCAAAAGGGGGTCTTTTCTGCAGGGACCACAAACAACAAAGACAAGTTCAGCAGCCAGAGGTGTACCGCGAATATTTTGTTTAAAACCGGGTTTTCCTGTACTTAAAAACTGCCAAACCGAGATAAAACTGCAGGCATCCTAATGCAGCTTTACAAAAGTGGAAAATACATAAATGTGCATTAGTTTAATTGAACATAACACTGTCATAACATTGGGTTTGCTAGTGGCTAAATTGAGTTAGCTGTGATTTAATTTCGTTTAATATCTTTGTAAAAAAAAAAAAAGAAGATCCAAAATAGTTTTGTAATGTTGTTTCTTTACCATTCTAGTAGTCTCCCTTGCCATGTTTTCACGGGATGATAAAAACGCGCTCCTCGGTCATGAGATCAAGTCAAAAGGGTCGCCGATGCCTGCAGCACCTACTTCGGCTACTATTAGTACTAGCATGAACTTCGGTTTAGCCAAAGAGTACACAGGAAAGTAGGATGAATCGCCCCCATACACTTCCGTCTTCGTTTGGGTGTTTAAAATGCGACGCTTGGAGCCTTCAAATTTTCCAAAATATACTAGTTTTTCCCCATAAAGTGAGACGTTCTTCTTTGAGATTAATATAATATTTGATTTTTTTATGTGTTTTGAGATGGATAAAAGATAGTTTGGTTATTCCTAATAATGCAAGTACACAAATTCTATCGGTGAGCGGACATCCGGGGCATTTTGCGTGTTTGTTTTGGATCGGTGCTCTTATTTTGAAGGGTAGGTGTAAAACGCGTGCGGCTCGTCTTGCCATACTTGTCTCTACCGGTGTCGTGCAGAGAAAAGTACCCCTACCGCAGAGAACACCTTAGAAAGAAGTAAATTGCATTTAATTAGAAGTGACAAACGATCTTGTCCTTTTACGTAAATATAACTCTCAGATATCTACATTTGTAGTATTTTATTGTGCTTTTAATGTAATTTACTGGATATAAATTATTGGAAACTTAGCATGAACGCCACATACACGTTTTAACTAATTGTTAAAAAATGTTACCCCTAAAGAAGTTAAAAATAATAATAATTTATTAGTGAAAATGGTGCCTTTACATGCGTGTAAGGTGCTATTGACGGCAGGGGTACACTTTTCGATGCAACACCGGAAGCTTACAGGCTCGCGTCGCTGCAATGTTGCGCTTTCCTGTTTACGGGCGGGAAGAGCGAACGAAGCTGAAGCCCTATTATTTAAATCTCCAGGACATTTGTTTTAATTTACCCAGGACACGTGGTTTGCGTGTTTTACTGATACACTGGAAACCGAGACGTGAGGTGGAATCATTGCTGGTGGACCAGTGGTGAAAACTAGCGAGGTTTTTGCAGAGTGGGTGCAGGACAGATGGAGGGTCCTCCTGCTGATTCTGGTGGTGGTGCAGCTGCGGAGGGCCCCGCGGTGCAGGTGTCCGATATGCGCTTGCCGACCGGGGCTCTTCCTCTCCGGCTCCTAGAGTGGAGAGTCAAACCGGGGTCTCTTGTTAACGTGGACTCCGTGCTGGCGCTGTGTGCTCCCGTAGCTCAGGAGAAGGTGACGGAGGCTGTCAAGTTGCCCGAGAGGAAGGTGAAATCGGACCGTGCTGGAGTAGTCAAGGAGCTAGGCTGCCAGGTTGGACAAATCATTCTTCCTGGGTAAGTCACCCTGTTTTTTTCTGTATTTAATGTAAACTAAAGCATTACCTTCATGGAAAGACTCCAGGCTGAGTTTGGACAACAATGTCAGTCACACGTCAGTTAGCAAATAAGCTAACAATGCTAACTTTTTTAGCCTGCCATTTTAAGCAAGCGTTAAGTCAGTCCAAATATATAAACATCCGTTTTACCCGAGCTCTTCAAAATAAAAGAGGAAGCTATCAAACGATCTGATGTCAGTTGTTTATTTTACTTCTTAGCATAAAAAAAGACCAAAAGCAGCTCGAAATACAATATTATGCAAGTTCCCAACTCGTTGCATGTCTAACTGTACGTAGTGCTTTTCAAAGTAAGAGGTTCGTGCTTTTGTTTTGAAGGATTCCCCGTCGTGAAACGTGGTTGTGTTGTTTGACTTGTCGCAAAGCAAAATGCATATAAAAAGAAATGAGTGGCTTAAATTAGATCTGTGCAGCAAATGTCCAGGATTTAGAAAGCTGAAATTATTCACCCACCTTTTTGATGTAACGTTTACAGCATCGATGCAAAACTTGACTGAGCGTGTTTATTATCACACCTGTGAGAAAGGCTCGTGCTACCTTCAGGTGCTCCCTAACATACTGTAAAAACTTTAAAACACGTGCAACTTTGCTATTATGACCATTGATTAGACAGCTGGACAGCACAGGAGAATGAAGCATAAGTAAAGCCTATTTCATAATTTTCCTCAGGGATCAATAAAGTATTTTTGAATTAAATTGAATTTTGAATTGAAAACACGGTAAAGTGTTAGGAAAACTAAATGTTAGGTTTTTGTTCAGTTAGGATGTAGGACTTGGTTTATGTTATTACTGACTAATTACAATTTAAATCATGCTAAATAGGAATTTACTCAAACTTATCTAGTTCCAGTGCTGTAAAAATGTTGTTTACATTAGCTGAAGCTGTTAAACTTGTAGCCACTTCCCGTTAGTTATGATGCAAAGACTGTGTGTGTGTGTGTGTGTGTGTGTGTGTGTGTGTGTGTGTGTGTG